TTAATTAGTGGTTGATTGTTCAACATATAAAGGTATATATTATTCAATATGTTTCCATGTATTAAACTCTTAAAAAGATGTCTCCATAAAATGTTTGGGCCTGTATCTCTAAATGAAAACATTATTAAATAGAAAGCTCATTTGGTTAGAATTATTACACGATAATAATAACTAAGTACGATAATATTATTACACGGTATATTATTATTATTATTCTTTCACAACAATAAATTAATAATGATTAAATACATTAATATTATTGCACGGCATATTAGTATTATTATTTTTTCTACACGGTAATACATGATTTATTCTTGCTACAAAGTAATTTATGATTTAATTATTATCTCTATATTCAACACTTAACATATGTGCCACCATTTCTATACATTACTTTGACATTTTTTATATTTAATTTCTTTTATTATTTTTTATTTTGATTTTTTAATTGTGCCTTCCTTAAATGCTTAAACTTATATATTTAAATTTCTTTATAAAATATTAGGCACCGAATCTCTAAATGGAAACATAATTAAATTAAAAGCTTATTTTTTTAACATAATCACACCGTAATAAATTAATAATGATTAAATATGGTAATATTAAGTTTGGCCATGTTCTCTAAATGGAAACATTTTTAAATTTAAAGCTTCTTAGATTAGAATTATTAGACGATAATAATGACTAAGTATGGTAATTTCATTACACAGTATATTACGGAGTATTATCATTCTTCTTACATGGTAATAAATTAATAATGATTAAATACGGATATATTATTACACGATATATTAATATTATTATTCTTGTTACACGGTAATACATGATCTATTCTTATTACACGGTGATTTATGATTTAATTATCATTTTTTATTCAACACTTACTATATGTACCACCATTTCTATGTATTACTTTGACATTTCTTTTAGATTTGATTTCTTTACGAAAAGGAAACAAATGGTTTGTATGATTAAAAGGAGTTGTATGATTAAAATGGTTTGTTTCTAAATTGGAAAAGGAAACAAATAGTTTGTATGATTAAAATAGTTTGTTTCTTAATTGGAAATTACATAAATTACGAAACTGTAAATTTAATGCATTGCTTAAAAAATTTAAACCTTAACGTGATTATTACCTTTTATGGACAAATACTATTTTTAGTTGAATGGTAATCATTTTTTTTATTATATCAATTCCAATTTTATAAAAAAGTTTGGTATTAGAAAAAAAGTTTATATAAATAATATTTTTTTATATTTTGTTTCCTTTTTAGAAATATATTAGGCATGCGATATTTCCTTTAATTTATCATTCTAAATAAGAATAGAGTAATAATGTAATTATGCATGCGGAATTATTCTAAAAAGGAAATAATGTAGATCTTGTTTGTGAAATTAGTCCCTTCATTTTTTATCAGAATTAAGTAACTATGCATTTGAAATTTCTTTTAATTTATCATTCTATTATTCTTAAAAGTATTTCCTTTTAAGAATAGAGTGATTAAGTAAATAATTACCTATTTAATTAGGCATAAATAATTACTTTTTGATAAAATAATCAGGCGTAAATTATTCCAAGTAATTATAATAATAATAGTAGTAATAATTAGGCGTAAATAATTACCTATTTAAAAAGGAAACAAAATATAAAAAATCTCCTGTACCATTCTTTTTTTATCACAATCAAGTAATTAGGTGAAATTGGTTAGGAAACAAATTACTCCCTTCCTTTTTTATCAGAATAGAGTGATTATGCATGCAAAATTTCCTTTAATTTATCATTCTAAATAGGTAATATTACACAACCAATCATAGCCGTAGATATTGTTTGTTCCTTGATATCGACGGTGCAGGAGATGAGTGCATTGGGCGGGAAAATAATTCCCCTGCTTTTAAGAATAGAGTGATTATTATTATTCTTAAAAATGAAAAAGAATAAATTTTAGAAATAAGTTAAATAGAAAATTGAGAAAGTAATCCTTAATTATTAAAAGTCGGAAAAATTATTTTTAAAATACATTATCAATGTCAATCTAATTCTACTTTTAAAATATATTTTTATTGCTACTTGTAATTTGAATTTCTAAAGTTTTGATCTTTTACTACATCGAGTTGATCAACTTTGATCATAACTTAAATAAAATTAATATTTGATATTCATAAACGGAGTATTTTTTAGTATAACTGAATTCTACTTTTAAAATATATTTTTATTGCTACATGTAATTTGAATTTCTAAAGTTTTGATCTTTTACTACATCGAGTTGATCAACTTTGATCATAACTTAAATAAAATTAATATTTGATATTCATATACGGAGTATTTTTTTAGTATAACTGAAATAACAATTATATCTATGGTGTTATATTAATCATAAAAAAATTTGTAGTACAAAGCACACGCTGATATTTTATAAGAATGAGATATTTTAATAAAGATACTATATCTTTTCTATATTGATTATCTAAATTTAATTACTTTTTAATGTATATATGAATTAAATATTTACTTTAATGAATATATGAACTAATTAATAAAATATTAAATCCATATTGCCCCATATTCTTATTTAATAAAAAATAATCATAAAATAAAAAATATTATTACATTATAATATGAATGATTATTCTAATATATGAATTAACTAATTTTATTTCATTACAAAATAATCATAAAATAAAAAATATTGATTATATTATAATATGAATTATCATTACTGATGGAAACCGCTTTTTCGGGGCGTCGACCCGATGAAATCGGTACCGGGTCGGCACCGCACCGAATAGCTAAATCCAGAAATTAAATAAATAAATAAAGCGGAGAGAAAGTATTTATACGTGGAAACTCAAATCGGGAGAAAACCACGGGCCTTTTTAGGCAGTGCCATGCCAAGGGGAGGAACTTTTATTAATCTTGGGGGAATTTACATATACTCATTGTATGAGCTTGGAGCCATTAATGGAGCTCCAAGCTTAGAGAAGAAGAAAAATGAAGAATAGTAGTAAGTTGTTGTAGGAATCTGGCCTCCCCCTCCTCCTCTTCGTAGCATTGTATTTAAATGGGAGAAAAGATCATTGATGGAGACAAAAGGGAACATTGTCCATGTGAAGCCCATGTGGTTTCCATGTGATAATGTTCCGCGGGTCCCGCTGAATATCTTCACATCACTTCATATATATTCTTCTGTCCATATATCTCTGGTTCTGTCTTGAATAATTTATCTGATTTATATCTTGGGCCAGATAAAATTGGGCTTTCTTATACTGTTCAAATAATATTGGATTAGGTAAAATCCCTAATCCATCACATGTCCCTCTAGTTTTGAGTCTGTCTCGGGGAACGAGACAGATTCAAAACTATATGACTCGGTGGGTTGCCTCATGGGATAAAACTTTTCTTGGTACCTCGGGAAGAGGACTTTCTTTTTTGGAGGGTCTCGTTACCTCGTGGGTAAGGATTTAACTTAGTGTCTCTCGAAAGAAGACTTTTCTCGGAGATTTGGTGCCTCTTGAAAGAGGACTTTCTCAGGGATTTGTGCCTCTTGGAAGAGGACTTTTCTCAGGGATTTGTGCCTTTTTGGAAGAGGACTTTCTCGGGACTTAGTGTCTCTTGGAAAAGGACTTTCTCGGGACTTTTTGCCTTTTTGTAAGAGGACTTTCTTGGGACATTGTGCCTCTTTGGAAGAGGACTTTCTCGGGACTTTGTGCCTTTTTGGAAGAGGACTTTTCTTTCTTTTTAGTTCCTCGGGAAGAGGACTTGGTGCCTCTTGGAAGAGGACTTTTCTCAGAGATTTGGGCCTCTTAGAAGAGGACTTTCTTGGAACTTTGTGACCCTTCGGAAGAAGACTTGGTGCCTCGGGGAAGAGGACTTTTCTCAGAGCTCGGTGCCTCTTGGAAGAGGACTTTTCCCGGGGATTCGTTGCCTCTGGGAAAAGGGCTTTCTTGGGACTTTGTGCCTCTTTGGAAGAGGACTTGGTGCCTCGGGGAAGAGGACTTTTATCGGAGCTCGGTGCCTCTTGGAAGAGGACTTTTTTCGGGGATTCGTTGCCTCTGGGATGAGGGCTTTCTTGGGACTTTGTGCCTCTTTGGAAGAGGACTTGGTGCCTCAGGGAAGAGGACTTTTATCGGAGCTCGGTGCCTCTTGGAAGAGGACTTTTCTCGGGGATTCGTTGCCTCTGGGAAGAGGGCTTTTCTCGGGGCTCTTTTTTCAATATTCTTTGGGAGCCTCTAAACCCCCACTTGATATCTATCTCACGGTGGTTGGGCGCTCCGCTCTTATTGAATGATAGACAATCCCCGCCCACCTTTCTCTCTCTCTAACTCTTCTCTCTATCTTGGTACGGGAGTCTATAACTATCTCCAGTAATCCGATCACCTAAATTGACCTACTTACTGACCTCTGCTTTCTATTCTCCAGTAATCCGAAAACCTAACTTGACCTAATTACTGACCTCTGCTTTCTATTCTTTTACAGTATTACTTTTATCAACTTCTACATTTTGGAACGGACCACTTGAGGCTTGATCCGTCCATTTGAAGGACCCATGAAGCTAGAACGGTCCACTTGAGGATAGAGACGTCCCTTCGAGGGTCCTATGAAGCTGGAATGGACTACTTGAGGCTAGATCCGTCCCTTGGATGGATCCTAGAAATTTAAACGGTCCACTTGAGGGACCCATGAAGCTGGAATGGTCCACTTCAGGCTAGATTCGTCCATTTGAGGGACCTATGAAGTTGGAGCGGTCCACTTGAGGCTAGATCCGTCCATTTGAGGGACGCATGAAGTTGGAGCGGTCCACTTGAGGCTCGATCCGTCCATTTGAGGGACCCATGAAGTTGGAGCGGTCCACTTGAGGCTAGATCCGTCCATTATTTGAGGGACCCATGAAGTTGGAGCGGTCCACTTGAGGTCGGCGCCGTCCATTTGAGGGACCTATGAAGCCGGAGCGGTCCTCTTGAGGCTAGATCCGTCCACTGGATGGATCCCAGAAGTTGGAACGGTCTAGATCCGTCCCTGGCTCGCTGAAGAGGACCGTTGGAGAGGACCATGGAGAGGACCGCTGGAGAGGACCGCCGTAGAGGACCGCGAAGATGACCGCCAGAGAGGACCGCCGGAGAGGACCGAGGAGAGGACCGCCATTGCCGTCCGTGGCTCGCCGTAGGAAATGGGAGCTCGTCGGAGGGCCGCCGCTGCTGGAATGGCTCGCCGGAAGAAGTGGGAGCTCGCTTCTTCCGGGCCAAGGTTCGCCGGAGTGGACAATTGCAAGTGGTATGGCTCGCCGCTGGATCGATGCTAGAATGGCTGTGGTTCGCCGCTTGGTCCCGCCGGAGGTGAAGCACGCTAGAGGGCTCGCCGATCTGGGAGGATGCTCACCGACCCTGGTGGAGGGTACTGCCGCCGGCCCTGTCACTTGCTCGCTGCTCGCCGGAAAGATCCCCGCGGTCCGCGGCTCGCCGGCAGTCCAGACTCTAGCTCGCTGCCGATGGAATGGCTCGTCGGAAGAAGTGGGAGCTCGTCGGAGGGCCGCCGCTGCTGTCTGTGGCTCGCCGGAAGAGGGAGCTTGCTGCCACTGTCTGTGGCTCGCCGTAGGAGGGAGCTCACTGCCTGCTCTTTTCCGATTTGAGGACAAGAGGAAAGGGGCTGCCCTCATCTTTTTTTATTTTGACTTTTCTCTTCAACCTCTCTCTCTCCCTTGCTTTTGTTCCCGTCCCCTTTTTCATTTTTTTACTTTCTCTCTCACTTTTTCTCTCCATTACGGACTCGGAGCACAAAAGTTTTTTGTGACCGGGTCCCACGGGTGGCGCCAGTGATGGAAACCGCTTTTTCGGGGCACTGCACCAAATAGCGAAATCCGGAAATTAAATAAATAAATAAAGCGGAGAGAAAGTATTTATACGTGGAAACCCAAATCGGGAGAAAACTACGGGCCTTTTTAGGCAGTGCCATGCCAAAGGGGAGGAACTTTTATTAATCTCGAGGGAATTTACATATACATCATTGTATAAGCTTAGAGCCATTAATGGAGCTCCAAGCTTAGAGAAGAAGAAAAATGAAGAATAGTAGTAAGTTGTAGGAATTTGTCCTCTCCCTCCTCATCTTCGTAGCATTTTATTTAAAGGGGAGAAAAGATCATTGATGGAGACAAAAGGGAACATTGTCCATGTGAAGCCCATGTGGTTTCCATGTGATAATGTTCCGCGAGTCCCGCTGAATATCTTCACATCACTTCAAATATATTCTTCTGTCCATATATCTCTGGTTCTGTCTTGAATAATTTATCTGATTTATATCTTGGGCCAGATAAAATTGGGCTTTCTTGTACTGTTCAAATAATATTGGATTAGGTAAAATCTCTAATCCATCAATTACAATTTTCAAACGTTATTATAAAGTCAAATCAAATTATTGATTTGACTTTTAAATCAAATCATAATTAATGAGATCAGATCCAATTATATCATATCAGATCAGATCCAATCAGATCAGATTATATCAGAACTACAAAAAATTAGATCAGATCAGCAAAAATAAGTTGCATGGAACGGAGTCTAAGAGCATGTTCTTTAGGCCTTAACTCTTAATTTCTAGTTTCTTCTAGTTCGTTCCAGTTTCTTCCAATTTCTTCTAGTTTCTTACAGCTCTTCTAGTTTCTTCTCGTTTTTCCAGTACATTCCAGTTTATTCTAGTTTCTTCTAGTTTTTTCTAGTTTCTTTTAGTTTATTCCAACTATTTTTATAAATCAGACAGATTATTATTTTTTCTTCAACTTTTTAATATGAATAACACCATTTTTTGTATATTAATCTACATGATAAAATATGAAAACACCAATATATTAAACTATTTAAAAAAACTATGGATAAACTAGTTACATAAAATGTTTTTTTAATCTAAATTTATATAAAGAAAACATTAATATCTTAATCTAAAATATAATAATGGAATGGGGTGGGGAATACTACGTTATGAAAACCAAGAGTGAACAATACCTTGAAAAAGAAAAAGCAACCCTAAAATTGTAAAAAACAAATTCATATTACAAACAATACCACCAATAATTAAAATACAACTAAAAAAGTTATACTTTCATATATTTGATCTACTTTTTATTATCCCTATTATGTAAAATATTGCGCATATAAATATAAATAATCCAATCATTTTAAACATAATCATATTGTAAAACTATACTCCGTATGGGTATTTAGTATCTTCAATTAAGCTTAACTGCATTGTAGAATATTAATTGTTATTTCATCTCTAAACTTCTTCATTGCATCTTTAGTTTGTTCATCAAACAACATCATCTTAAGTTTATCTTTCGTTGTTCGCTGCCTTAGTAAAGTAAAACATAAAAAATATAAAAAAAAATATATGTCTTTATTCCAAAAATAGGGTTACAATGAAAAAGATATCTTTAGACCGGAGACCGGTCCGGAATTTTACCGGTCTAGCCCGGAACAGGTTTTTCCGGTCCGGTTTTCGGGTCCGACCCGGATTTTGTACACCCCTAATCATTCGTCATTCCCTTTTTTTATTTTCTCTTCCGTTCTTTAGATTCTTATTTACTTGGTTTCATTTTGTTTAGTAACTATTTTTTTAAATCCAATAAAAAAAGGAAAAATTGTTTATTAATTGCATTACGGAGTACCAATCAATAAGAACATTATTTTTCATTTTAATTAGAAATGACGGAGTACTTCTTTTTGAAAGAATTAATCATTAACCTAATCTATGTAGAATCAAACAATATAAAGGAACGTTAAAAAAAGTTATAAAGAAGATGTTTTTATGTAAACTTTTAGTCCATAATCAGATTTTATTGTACATTTTCATTGTAAAAAGTACTCTGTATATAATTATTATTTGTTTCATATGAGATTATTTATATAATTTGAGTTTTTTTAGTCTAATTAGGCAATTTTTAATCATAGTTAATATAAATATTGTACTTCATATTGAATATAAGCATGAACACAAGTTATTAGATTTATCTTGTGGAAATTTTCTGAAAATATATTTCATTGTATTAGTATGTCCTACAAATTTAATATGATTTGTTAAATTTAATTTGAAAAAGTTTAAATGAACAAATACATTAAAACAATTAGATTTTTCAATTATGAAGTCATATAGGGCCACAATTTTTAATTTGCACAAGACCTTCATTTACTTCGGACCGACCATTTATTTCTTTAGGGTACAATTTAAGGTACACTTCTTGATGTACTCCAAAGATGATTCCAAAATTTATTCATATTCGAGAAGGTGTGTAGTATAGTCTAATGTTAAAGAGGTGAAATGGGATCACATTTACTCCAAGATGGTTACACATCTAGTGGCTTTAAGTATTAATGTTGACAATGTAATAATTTAATAAAATAATTTTTTGTGATCTCTTTATAATGTAATTTAAATACACTTAAAAAATAAATTACCCCAAATTATAGACGGTGTAACGCAAGGTACGAGACCTAGTGTTTATTAGTATTTCAACAAGAATTGCTACGGTTAATACCCCAAATTATATACTCCCTCTGGTTCTAAAAACTCTTCTTGTTTTTTACTTTTTTAATTAATTAAGGGCATTCTTTGAACATAAATTAAATATACTCTAAATAAATAAATATTAAAAAAATTTGATACATCAAAACTATATAGTAAGATGAATCTATTTATAATAAATTCATATTATCATTTAACATATATTTTTTCACAATTTATAGTTAAAAAGTATCAGCATTTGACCAAAAAATGTCAAAACAAGAGAAGTTTTTAGGATAGGGGGAATAATAATTTGAAAATGTTGTTCATTATTTGTCATTGTGTACACCGAAATTGGCAGGCTTGATGCATAAACTTCAAGATCAAGAAAAATATTGTAAGACGTAGAAGACCCTGCAATTTTTTAAATTTGCAAAAAGAAAAAAATAACGGCGACGAAACCCGAAAAGATAGTAATGATTACTTGTGCCCAAGAGTCATCGTCTAATTTATTTTTTTTAGTCTAGATAAATTTTGAAAATTATATAAAATTTTTATGGAATACTACGTATTATGGTGTTTTTGGTTGCGCGTAAAATATTTTTCAGGAAAATTTTAATTCCATTTTTATGTGTTTGGTGACATTAGTGGAAGGAAAATATTTTCCTACCAAACAGTGGATTACATGATTGAAGAATAATTTTTCTTGAAATTATCTTCCTTTGGAAAATATTCTCCAAAGAAAATATTTTACCAACCAAACACAATCTTAGTTCAAAAATGATTTCATTATATATTTATATTGCAAAAATTTATTACAAATTTATTTTATGGTATTAATATATAAATCAGAGTACAAATTAAGAAATCACATAAAGTAGGACCAAAACATAGCTCTCATCCCAAAATAAGAGTGACATATTTTTTTAAACAAAATTATAACTATTACACTACAACAATGTGACACGCATATTGGCATTCCACAATGTTTTTGGTATTATGTGTTGGCATTATTGACATTTATTATAGATTCAATCTTGGCTATAAAAATGTGAATGTCTTACTTTTTCTATATGCTATGTTTTAGTCTTATTCCGGTCATTTTCCTGTACAAATTTAATGTACTTCCTCCCTCCCTAAATCTCCTTGTTCTGTTTTTATGTAATTTAAGAAAGAGATTTTTTGTTTACTTTCCTAAATTACCCTAGATGTGATTGACAAAATAGAATGTGATATGTAAACTATTAGTAAAAAGGTATGATGTGATAAATAGGGCAATAATTAGTAATGGTAAAAGCGAATTTTCAATAGAAATGAGGATATTTTGGGACAAGAAATAAAAGAAATGAGAAAGACTTTTGGAGACAAAGAGTATAATTGATTGAAATTAATTGAATTTGACTCAAAATAGCCAAACTGGCGTATACTCTGGGACGGATGGAGTAATAAGCAAGAGCTGCATCTTCGTATTTAATATGAAAAGACAATTTTCCATATTTTTGTCCGTGTACGTTGACAATTCTCCATAAAAATATGAATCAAAATCAATACTGTGTTCTTACTAAGGTGGTTCATTTTGCATAGATATCACTGTATTGGAGAAGCGTTAGCTAGTAATTCTGATATGAAACATTTGTGTGAATGTGTGTAGGGGTACTATGGTACTTACACATCCTCAGAAACAAACAACTTTTGAATCTGGCAATTCAACATACCATCAATGGCAACAAAGAAGCAGCAACTACGCGAAGGACGAGAGCACAGTCTCTGTTTTTGTTGGACGCCAAATGCCCTTTTCCACACACAGCAATCCTTCGCCGTCCTTTGAGAAAGTGAACTTCACGTCCCAATGGAGTGATCGAGCAATTTTCTCCAGTTGGAGTATCATTTCCGCATTGTCTCGGACAATGAGTTTTCCCTTTGGCCTCAGAATCCTGTCCACTTCTGCAACAACCGCTACAATGCCGCACCTGTTTTTGATAGAATTTTTAAATCGGGTCACTGGAACAGATACTTGGGCTGAACCACTTTAAAAGATTGAATCCAATCGATTACTTAGCTCAACTCAAGAGCTTATATACCGATTACTTTCTATTCAACTTCTGATGTGGGATAGACTCTAACAGTTTTCCAAAAAAAAAAGATTCGCATAACTAGTGAGGTTTTACAGCAGCAAAGATAGATGCAGTAGTGTAGTGTTAAAAGCTAGCCTGACCTGTTCTTGATATTAGAGAAAAGATGATCCGCATGAAGAAGATCGTACGATCTCGGGTATGTGCTGAATGATTCACACCAGTCATGATACATCCCAAACAACCCACGATCATATATTACAGGAAGTGTGTCAGGCGAATCAATTGGGACTATATTCATGACCCAGATTTTCAAGTCCGTGAGAGCAGCCGCGAATCTGCAACATTGAAGAGAGAGAGAGAGAGAGAGAGAGAGAGAGAGAGATAGTTTTCATTGAAGAAGCATCCAATGCATTCCAAGGAGTAAAATACAGGTAAGAGTTTTGATGTATATATGCTTACATATGGTAAGCGGGCTTAAGGAAATGTGCAAAGAACGTTATTCTAAAATTGCGGTAATCAAGACTCGTAGCAACAACAAAAAAGTACATTTTTTTAGCAGAAAAGAATGGATGATGAATATTTTTTGCACCAAGCCTTACATTTTTGGTAGAGGAATTCAGGTTTGCTTCTTCTTTTTTCTTCTTCCTAAGTTGTATACTATCCATTACCTATAAACTATTATAACCCTCTGTTCTCAAAGTGTGACAACAACTCAACAAGAAGATATTGTTCATCAGTTAGTGTAAGTTTTTGTATTATCATAAAATGGTCATCCAATTTCTGCATCTGAAAAAAAAAACAAAGGAAAAAAAAATAACTTACCCCCCATACACAGCTCTCATGTCCATGACATTCCTCACTGATGACCAGTCAATATCAAAGCCTTTTAGATATGATCGTGACACTACATTTTTCCAATGCTTATAGTCAGCAACAAAGTCTTCTGGAGCTGCTTTACCATAAACTCCTGTTTGGGAACTTATTAACCAATAAAGCGGTTTCTCCAACCTCTTTGGCCATACCTCAGGCCAAGTTGATCCACGTGTTGATGGATCTGTAGGAATTTTGTGCATACATGCCTGGATCTCGACGTTCCTGAGCCAAAAGATTGATTGCATTCGGACACAATGTCACTAGCTATGGAAGCGCACATAATCAACTTTCGTATATCCATATAAGATCTCTTAGAGGTCCTAGAATAAAATACCCTTGGTTCTTAAGATTTATAAGATTCGGATTGAGGGGGAGGGTGGAAAGTATGCTTCAAGGAAAAGAAAAGGCCATCAAGAATAGTTAACGTCAATGCGATTTGTCCTCAAGTTTTGGCTCAAGGACTTGTATTTGGGTAATTTTAGTATGGTCCTTTGCACAAATGTTTCCTATATGGGAATAGTCTCTGAACATACTTTCACATCCACGCAGGCATGCACATATATAACGTTTAGAGAGAATCTCAATCATTTTTCACATTTAGAAAAAGTTGTTGGTACATGCAAGATAAGAGAGAGGTAGGCCAAGAGTGGTTTTCTAGCACTTCAATAGTTCAACCCAATATTTTAGAGGTTTTTTCAAGAAGTCATTCCTAAAGAAACATTGCATCTTGTCTCATTAGAAGTGGCTGTGCATCATAGCTCTTGAAAAGAACAAAGGGTGTCGATCGATCCACATATCATAAGCATAGTTTGGTTTGACCGGTCAATATATTCAGCGCTACAGTAGGTATGAGAAAGGACTTGTCAAGGTTGATGTCCCTCATGTCCGCAAGTGCATTATGTAAACTACACTCAACAAGAATTCTTGATCGTTTTTCTTGTTGTAAAATTCAATAACTAAGCCTATGACACACCTTACATTGCTTCTTTAGACTTCTTTTTCTTTTGTTGAAATCACAACTCGATTGTGATATTACTCCCTTTGCCCCAAATTATATGGCATAGTTGCTTCTAGAATGATTTTTACTCAAAAACATGTAAACGCAACGCACTTGAAAATGTGTCAAAAAGAGTACTACGAAGTAGGTAATGGATAATAGATTTTTTACCAGGCAGCATCTGGATCATCAGCCTCTTTGCACATTGGTGGGTCGTTCTGTGTTCTACTCTCATAGCAATCATTGGAAGTTGGCTTTCTAAATATTGCTACCCCTACTTCGTTCAATGAGTCTTCATTAGTTACCACTAGCTCCCAGCACATTGACTTTGTCAGTTCTGACATAGCTGCACAAAAATCGGCAGAGGATGGGAAATCAATTCATGACTTGGGACTTTGCTAGCGAATGGGAAAAAAATGATGAAGTAATGAAAATCACCTTCCCAAATGCCGATATCTTCAGGAACCTTCCGGTACACTGGAGTTGCAGACCATACAAAGTAACCACCAGGCCGCAATACACGGTTCAACTCCAACAGAAGCTTGCCACCTGCAATGTTCTAAGACATTAATCGCCATTAAACTGTCGCGTGAGACATGAAAAAAGAAGGGACCCACTAAAAGCTTCACCTTCAGCGTGCCATGGAACTCTACAGCGTGCACAGTGGACGACATCAAACACCTTGCTTGGGAACGGTACTCTCTTTGTGCCCATAACTGCTGATATAGCAGGAATACCTCTTTCAAGCGCAAATTGTACTTGTGCTTCATGCTCGTCCTTTGGAGCAAGAGACATTGCAAGTACATCTCTCTCAAAAAGGTATCCTCCAAAACTGGCTACTCCACAACCAACATCCAGAATAACACGGGTTCTTTTTCCCCATGAAATGTTTTTGAGTGACTGCATTGCCAGAAAGAACTTTGGGTTCAAGACAACAACAACAACAACAACAACCCAATTGAATCCCACAAGAGTAGGGTCTGGGAAATAAGTTATCCAGCAACACTCTGTTCTATGAAGCTTCAGATCAATCATTATGTTGGAAATGGTCATAAGATAATCATAGGCTATGTAACTAATGTCTTAAAAAGTTATTTTCTGAGACAACAAAGAGGATACACAAAGGCAACATGAAAATTACTGCCTAAATTCAACATTCTGATAGCGATGTCAGAAATATTCTTGAATGTGTTTTATCATGTGTGTTTTAGTATGCTTCCATTTGGTAAATAAATTCAGTGTTTTGTGGAAAAACATTGACAAAGTTATAGCTTGTTAGATGAATCAGTGCAGCCCATATCCCTTCCTGCGTGTAAAAAAAAAAAACCCAACATAGAAGTCATTATGACTTCAGTAATCTGTCTGTTCAAAGAAGGCAAATAGGAAAAGGAGAAAAAAAAGAAAAGATTTATCGTAAAGCATTATTATTTATGTATCTAAAGCTCGGTCTGATATAAATTTATAACTGAAGAAAATGTTTATAATCACATATTCACGGGAACGACGAATCACCTGTTGATACTAGGCCTTGTACATAAAAATAGAGGAAAGGAAAATTTCAAGAGCACATTCTCTCTGTCCTATGTTGACTTTCCGTATGTTCATTTTGACTCTGTTAGACAGTAATGTTTGCTTTCCTAATTTAAAAATGACTAACACTGTATTGTTTCCAATTCATCATTTCTACCGTTTCATGTTTAAAATGATTTGAACATCTAGATCCATTATTCCTATTTAAGGGAATACTTTGAAAAAATACGAGCACTTAAGTAAATTTCCCTTATAATTTGGGATGGTGGGAGCATAAGAACTAACATCTTGGATGAAGTCAATATAGTGGAGAGCTCCATTCTTGAACTGCGTGCCGCCACCTGGGAAAGTAAGATGGTCGCCAGTAACTTTGACCCAATTTTGATGCCCTTTGACCTCGGCAAGCTTGGCGTGAGGTACATTAGAATACCATATCTGAAAAAGAGAGGAAAAAAAAAGAACAGAAAAAAGGAAAAACAGAGGTCACTAGATGAAAAAAAAAACTGCAATCAAACCGAGAAGAAAACCAAGTCCCATAGTGGCATGGAAATGTATACCTGCTCCCTGCTCCTAGGCCATGCAATGGGCTGCTTGTATCCCTTAGGCAGTGGAACAAGACACGACGGAGCTTCTTCTGGACAGTGCCTCTCGCGATGTTCATAGTGCATTGTGGTTGGAAGCTTTCTTATAGCTTGTAAATTGTCCAAGCAGGGGATATAATCTGGCCCGGCACTGGTATTACACACCTTCCACTTATACAGATTACGACCAATGGAGAGTTCAGATTCCTGTGATTCCTTCTCTTTTGCAGACTCGGCCGCTTGGGTTGACCAAGGGCCATTTTGAGTTGTAGTTTCCTTCAAAATCTCAGACTCATCTCCTGATGGAAAAACTTCGTCTCTCTTTGGGTCACTTACATGGTCATCTGATGAATCTTCATCTTGCTTAGTCTCAGCATTAAACTTACCATCTTCACTCGATTTATCATCACTCGCCTCTGCTTGCACTGTTTGATCTGAAAGCTCACTTTCTTCTGCCTGTTCCAAACCATCCGAATTTGACGCTTGAACTTCAACCGAATCCCCGCCCACTTGACTTGAATCTTCACTCTCTTCATCTGTGTGCGAATCATCTAAACTGAGCGCAAATCGTCCCTTGAAACCCTTGGTTACTACCAGATTGACCTTGTCCCCGATCTCTGCCGAAGGTTGCTCAATATCTTGAAGAGGAATACTACTACAGGAAGACATCAACATCCAAATCCCAATCAAACAGACTCCTAGCAGAGTCACAATAGGAAAACATTGGGATGATCTCCCTCCGCTTCCGCGGGAGATGCTCCCCAAAACCATCGTCCTTAGCTTTCGTCGACCAGCAAAATATCAAATGCTGTGATTTTAAGATAAATCGTTAGTCTCCCGAAAAAGACTAGATAATGTTGAATGTTCATATTATGATAAACAGATTGGAGAAAATGGGGAACACAAAGACTCAGGACCGAAAACTCGCGATTTTCTAAGCACAACAAACATCTACTAATTGATGACCATTACTACTGAGGTATCATTTATAGCTATACATTGACAAATGTTTTTCAAAACTACATAGTGAATACAAATCTAATGATATGAATTTCATAATTGCATTTTAGAACAAATCTATGGATAAATGCTTTTTTCATTAAATACATTGATAGATGGAGGAAGTGTAATTCTTTCTTTAACAACAATACGTAGAAACAACATTAAATAAATGCATAAAAAAACAAAAAAAATGGAAAAATCTGTGATCAATGGATCTAAAACGGCATTCTTTAAGCCAAATCAGGTTCATTAACTCCACAATGAAACAAATAATTGAAAAGAAATACCTAATTGAACAATGTGCAGAGATAGGAATTGGTATGAGAGGCTATTGTATGAACTTTGAAAGTTGATGCTCTGCAGAGATCAAGATCTGCTGGGACTTTTAAAGTAGTTGACAACTAGACGGCCTCGGAAGACTGAAGTGTGACGTGGTCATCCTTTGGCAGAGTCCAAATCACTGCCGACAGTCAGAATCTCTGTTCGTCCAACCGACGGAAAAGGTTGAGCCATTGGCTGCTAAGAAATTGAGCTTACATATTTGTGTTTAACATGGTTGCCTCTCAGAAATCGAACAAGGATCTAAGCATTGACACTTCCTATCTCAGCCAAGGGCGCAACGTCCACAGGCATCCAACCAACAAAGAAAGGAGGTGAAATGGATTTAAGGTAAAACTTAAGTCGTTTCTCTAAATAGCACTTAAACTGTTTTATTTCCTAAATAGCACTTAATAATGTCTATAATGTCCAGTGATGGCAAATATTTACTTGAATAATGACTGATGCATAATGACTAAAAGTGCTACATTGGGAAGAAAAACACATGTAGTGCTATTTAAGGAAAGTCATTGTGCTATTTAAGTAAATTCTTCTTAAGGTATACTCCCTCCTGGATATAATTACATGTTTATCTTTCACAAATTATTTTACACTTTATGGAAAATGAAATGAAATTTCAAGTTTTTTCAATTCATTTTTTGTTAGATTTGTATAAAAATTAAAAACAAAACTTACATACGTAATATTTAAAATATACGTCAAAATTTCTAAATAACACGATGTGATAAGAATACTTTATTTATCAAATTATCAATCAAAATGCAGAATAAACAAAAGTTCTCGTGACTTTTCACCAATGAAGAGTGTAATTCTTTTCTGAACAGAAGAATTATTTCAAAAGCCACCTTAAAAGTTCTATAAAATAATATGTGACAAAAATATTTTATTTTATCAAATTATCTATAAAAATACATAAATAAACAAAACTTTTTGAGAACCCAGAATAATCGTCGAGAAATAAATTAATGGAAGAATGGAATATATTGGTTCAAATAAAAATGATGCATAGTCAAAAATGTGAAAATACATATGGTCCGACGATCCGTTAGATTAAGATCTAAATGTCATTAAACTCAAGGGAAAAACGAAAGAAATAGACTAAAACATAGAGAAAGAACCAAAATCGAATTCACATTTTTTATTCCAATTTCTAAGATATAACCAATTTTTTTTAAAATGGAGCTAATTTGTTAAAAAATTCGCGTTGATCCATTTTTCACCACAGCATCTGAGTGTCATAGTATCACTAATGTTAGTTGAAGTTACTATACCAAAGATGATAGTGAATATTTTTCCCGTCTTAAAAGAATTATCACACTTTGACTTATTTGATCAATTTGCATTACACATTGGCTACAAATTTGAAAAAAAGTATATTTAGTACCTAGAGGGGTGTTTTATAGATATAAACTAAATTAGAAGAGAAGTGGAGTGGTTATTATGGGGGAGCAAGTACCGAACCGATACCGAAAATTCCTGAAAAAATCGAGAAAACCAAACCGAAAAAATACCGCTAAAATACCGAATCGTACCGAACCGAATGTTCGGTTCGGTATTCGGGAACGGTACGAGGTAACTTCTCATACCGAATATCCCAAACCAAATATATATACTACTCCCTCCGTCCGGAAATGTTCTTCCCGTATTGACTTGGCACGCTTATTAAGGAATAGTAAAAAATGCAAAATTTTCAAAAATGCACATACTATAAACTTTTAAATCTTCTTTTATTAGTAAAAAAGTATTTAAAAAGTAGATTTGTGATAAAATAGAAGGGTATTATTGATATTTAGCCTTAAAAAGCATACTAAAAAAGGAAATGAGAAGATTATTTCCGGACGGACCAAAAAGGAAAATGAGAAGAATATTTCCGGACGGAGGGAGTAATATATTGCATATATATAATAATATTCTTATATTTTTTCATTGAATGATAAGTTTTTCTAAAATTTGGCTCTAATTTTATTATGTGTGCATTGTACTTGTATTTGAGTTTTAATTTTTTGTATAAGAATTTAAACATAGTAACACATATTTCAAATATCATTTTTATCATCCGTTTACTGTAGTTTGTGAGATATAAACTAAGTTTTATAAGCCTTTCTTGGATTTAATTTTTCATTTTTTCGTTTTTTTATTTTTTTGTTTAAATATACTTTTGATTTATAAAAAAATAAATATTTGTGTGATATTTTAATGTTTAAATTAAGTGCATATGTTTTCATCCCGATTTATCCCGAAATCTATACCAAACCATCCTGAACCATACCGAATCGAAATTTCGAGATCGGGATCTATACGACGTAAAATCTCATACCGAACCAAAATATTTGGTACGGTATCCGTACGGGCTAAATATCGTACCATACCATACCAATGGTACCATGCTCACCCCTAGTGGTTATCCAAAAAATGGAGTGGCGCTAAGAAGAATTACAGTGTGGTTGTCATCTGTCTATATTTAATGCTAGTTTTGGTTGATGGGTTTTTTTCATGTCTTTTTAGAGCATATTTGAAAATAGCGTTAACGTTTTGAAAAGGTTATATACGAGCAACGTTTAACGTTAGTATTTTCAAAATAATATGTACCGTTAAAATTTTATCCAAAACACTAACAATAATTTCTAACGTTATTCTCAAACAAGTCCTTATTTGAAAGGGTATGGATGCCCTTCCATTTAAATAGTAACATGTGGACAAATAATAATGAGACTTAAATGTATGGAGTATCACCATTATACAAAGTTTAATGCGGAACGTAGCTAGTTTTAAAATTTGCAAAATGCTCCCTCAAATCAAACGCATCTCTTATACGAAGTAGTATTTAATACACCATTTATTCTTTTTCTCTTCTTTAAGAAATCGCTCAAACAACAACAACAACAATCCAGTTGAATCCCACATCAGTAGGGTCTGGGGAGGGTGTGTGTACGCAGACCTTGCCCCTACTCGGAAGTAGAGAGGCTGTTTCCAAGAGACCCCCGGTTCCACCTGCACAAAAATATGGAAGAGAACACAGTATAGCACAGATAAGGCACCAAGTATAAGCAACAAGTACAAACAATAGCCAAAGATTCCAAACAAATACAACACACTACAAAACAACCTCTACAACACCGAGCTCTTATCCAGCTACTCTAATCCTAGTTCTCCAAAGGTTCCTATCTATGGCCATATCCTCAGTCAGGTCGAGAAGTCCTAAATCCTGTCTTATCACTTCCTCCCAATTCTTCTTAGGTCTACCCCTTCCCCTACTTCCCCCGATAACCGTAATCCTCTCGCATCTCCGTACAGGGGCGTCAGCATCCCGCCGTCTCACATGGCCAAGCCACCTCAACCTCGCTTCCCGCAACTTGTCTTCCACCGGTGCCATACCTACTTGACGTCGGATAACCTCATTCGAAATCCTATCCAACCTTGTCTTCCCGCATATCCATCGTAACATCCGCATCTCCGCCGCATGCAGACGACGCACATGAGTCTTCTTAACCGCCCAACACTCTGCCCCATATAACATAGCAGGTCTGACTACGGATCGATAGAACTTACCTTTCATTCTAGGCGAAATCTTCGGATCACACAACACCCCTGAGGCTAACCGCCATTTGGCCCAAGCCACTCCAACCCGATGTCCAACATTCGCATCTAACTCCCCATCCGCCTGAATTACCGAGCCAAGATAACGAAACCTGTCTACCTTAGGTACTAGATGAGAGTCGATCTTGACTTCCACCTCTGATTCTGTATCCCGGCCGCTGAAACGACATCTCATGTATTCAGTCTTGTTCCTACTTATTCTGAATCCTTTAGTCTCAAGGGCAAGGCGCCATAATTCCAACTTATCGTTTAGTCCATCTCGCGTGTCGTCAATAAGCACAATATCATCCGCGAAAAGCATGCACCATGGGACCCCGTCTTGAACACCTTGAGTTAGGACGTCCATCACCAAGGCGAACAAAAAAGGGCTAAGAGCAGACCCTTGGTGTAACCCCATCCCTACCGAGAAGGAATCTGAGACGCCCCTAGAAGTCCTTACCTTGGTCATAGCCCCATCGTACATATCCTTGATCGCGCGAGTGTACACGATGGGAACTCCTCTCGCCTCAAGACACCTCCATACGACCTCCCTTGGTACCCTATCATACGCCTTCTCAAGGTCAATAAACACCATATGAAGGTCCTTCTTCCTAGCCATATACTCTACCATTAACCTCCTCACGAGATGAATGGCCTCTGTAGTCGATCTGCCAGGCATGAAACCAAACTGGTTCTCCGAAATGCAAACCTCTTTCCGCACCCTATACTCAATAACTCGCTCCCAAACCTTCATGGTGTGGCTAAGGAATTTGATGCCTCTGTAATTCTCGCAGCTCTGAATGTCACCTTTGCCTTTAAACAGAGGGACCAAGAGACTCTCCCTCCACTCATCAGGCATCCATGCTGTTCGGAGGATAACATTGAAGAGTTTGGTTAACCAAACCCACGCATCACGACCCGCATGCTTCCAAAACTCCACTGGAATCTCATCTGGTCCCACAGCTCTCCCATTACGCATCACGCGGAGAGCCCGAACCACCTCTTCCAAGCAAATGCGCCGGCAGTACGTACACACGAGATGCCCTAGGATGTCCCAACTCATCAAGAACTAGCCTCTGGTCTCCTCCCGCATTTAAGAGTTCACTAAAGTACTCCCCCCAGCGTTTAGCCACCTTGGCAGTCTCAACTAACACTCTACCATCGCTGTCCTTCACGCATCTCACGTGGTCTAGATCTCGGGCCTTCCTCTCGCGCACCTTAGCAAGCCGGAACAGTGGATTAACACTGCCTTTCTCCTCAATATCCTTGTAGAGGCGTTCAAAAGCGGCATTCTTTGCCCTCGTTACCTCTAACTTAGCTTCTTTACGCGCTTTCTTGCACTCCACTCGCAACGCCGCTCTTTCCTCCACAACATTGCAGCCCATGTACCTCAAATACGCCACCTTCTTAGCTTCCACCTTACTTCGGACTGAATCGCTCCACCACCAATCACCCCGACGCCTACTCCCAGAGCCAGAGCTCACACCTAACACTTCCCTGGCTGATTCCTTGATGCAGTTAGCAGTCTGCACCCACATCTCTGTA